AGACTTTCATCATAGCAAGATGCAACCATAACTGGCGGACTTCAGTGCACATCTGTTCAACTTCCAAAATAACACATATAAATCTTTCCTTGCGTGGTCCCCAGTTAAATAAGCTCATTATTCAAACATGTCATTTTGTCTTTAAAGCACATCGCTCATCACCACAGACATACTTTAACTATCATAACACATTTCCATGTGACTGAGTCATTTTTCTAGCTCTGGATCCTCCATGATGACATGCAAGCAGAAGAGATGGATGATGGGAAACGGTGCCGTAATCAAGCAGTTGACATCTCAGTGCGAGATCAGCTGGGATGTGCACCCTTACATTTACATTCAGGCAACCAGAGAGAGGTACTGAAGGTTCACTGATGCCTTGTAGGCGCAGTAATTAAAATGGGCTAATTAAAGAGAGATGGAGGAAATGGTTCCAGTTTTTTTTCCTCTTTTTCTTTTTTTCCTTTTATTAAATTTCCCATGAAATTAGATTTTTTTTTTATTTTTTATTTGCTAGCATGAAATAGAAGAAGAGGTTTTTTTTTTTCTCAATGTGTTTTTCCCTCAAAAGCGAGGCATGTGGGGATTAACGTGTCGGTGTGTGTACATGGAATGAGGAGTGACAGTCCACTTATGAGAAAATGTTATGCTCCCTGAGTTTAATTCCCACTCTGTGGGAGATCGGTGTGACAAGAAAGAATGCTCATACATGTCGAACATTCATATCTGAGCTGCTTGAGGGTGAAGGAGACTAATGATTGGAGATGGCTTTCTAATCATAGCAGCAAAAAATAAATAAATAAAACAAATCTCACCAATGAACACATAATGGCATGTATACATGTGAGAGCTTGTATATAGCTTGCACTCTAATAGCATGCTGGCAGTGGACAGCCTGCCTGACAGCTCCTGTGCAGCACAGAGACATATAGGGCTAATGGTCACAACTAATGCAGGACCTCAAAGGACTGAATAGGGAAAAAAAGACAGTTCCAGGAGCGATGAATGGGCAAATGTGTAGTACCGTCAAGCATTATGTCTACAAATAAGTCTTTTTGAAAGGATAGAGGGACAATATGGAGCCAAACTTCGAATGTCAAGGCAAAGAAAACTGGTTTTTCATGCACAGAGGAATTGTTGGTTTCAATAGCTCGAGGATAATAAACTGTTGCAAAAAACTAATAAGGTAGCACAGACTCATTGACTTTAGTTTATGTGGGAAGCTTATATTATACATGTTATTGCTTCTCAGACCTATATTTTAGGACTGATAGTGTCTGATTAAGCTGCATGCACAGTTATCTGACTGAAGCATTCTGATTCCCATTTTTAGTGCCCAACACTGCTGCACAGCACGGTATAGTTCAGAGGGTGGCAAATTAAAGGGTTGAGATCTGGTGACTGTCAAAGCTACAGTATGTGATTAAAATCATTCTCATACTAATCAAACTATTCAGTGAACCCTTTTTTTGTCGTGTGGTGTATGAAAGCTTTTGGTATCTTATCCTTTATGGGTTTTGATTTTCTGTATTTGCCCGTTTGACACGCAAAAAAGCTTCTGAAAATCAGATTGTTAAAGAGTTTAAAAACACCAAATAACACATAAAAAAAATATACTTTTAACTCAGTCGGCACATGAAAAATCATAGTACAGCATGTACACATGATTATGAATGCTGAAATATTTCTAGTGTTACAATGTAGCACGCAACACGTTTCAATCAATCTGAGTCAGTCTGCACCGATGTTTCTTTGCACCAGGGGACTCGGATCAACTGGTTGCCAGCTGGTTGTATTCTGGTTATACTCCTAAAGACAAGTTGCCAAGTATCCGTGTTATCAGCATTTGAATCGTCATCTTGCAGCAACCGTGTCGGTATTTGTGGAGGAATTTCTAAATTTCAGTTTCAGATCTATGAAGTTCTGACTGGACTTTGAATGTAAATAGTTAAAGTAACTTTCTGTGTATGAAGACAGCAACTTATGTGGATTTTCTGCTGATTTATCACAGTTTATGGCCATATTATCACAAAGAGATTGCATTTAATTGCCAACATGTCCCCATTCAATCACAATCTCATACACTACCTACATCTTACTGCCATTTTATCGCAGTTTCGATGCACTGAGGTCGGTTTGAAAACTGCAGCTGACTGGTCCCAGACCTGGTCCTGTCTGTGAAGCAACCATATCAAAAGGCAACACACAATTTCTTTTGTGTGATAGTCTCCAACCACTGTAGCATTAACGATGAGGAAATGGTACCAATAGGAAGTTGCTACGGTAAAGTCCATAAAGTCAGAGGTTAATGACTTGCACACTATCAGCTAACTGCAAATGGGTTGGTTGTAATAATGCTACTGAGAAGTTCTTTATCTCAGTAGACAAAGCTGTGATAACATTAGTCTTTAATGGAACTAATGTACTTTTAAATGTAGCATTAACCAACGCTGTATATTTCAGTGCATCACATGCAAGCTCACTCCGTGTGTGTTTAGCTACATGACTGAAAAACACTCAAAAGTCGACTGTTACGCGTTAAAAGGGGGACAAACTAGTTTCTAAACAGTGATTTTGCCAAAACAGCTTGACCAGATATTACTTGTGTCTGCCCACTTCTCCTCAACATTAACAAAACAAGAGGGGCATTTGACAGGTCAGTGACTAACCCCACCCACCACGCTTCCAGCTGTCATCTGAGAACTGAATGGCGCAGATCCCCCCCTTCATTTTACACCGCCACAGTAAAAGGTCAAAGAAGAGGAGAGTATAATTGACTGAACCGTGACCTCTTTATACTGTGGTCTTTTGTCTCGGCGAGTGTGTACTGTGTATAGGTGGTCACACCTAAGCAAACACCCCGTGGCCTCCCCCACATTCATCAGATTGGTATTAATATTCATGAGGAGGCTGGTGGCCGGTATCTCGAGTCGGGGGGCTAATGAACACAGAGTGTTCTCATGCTTGTATGTATGTGTGCGCGGGCATGTCGCAGATGCAGGGGGGCAGGAGTGTAATCAAATCACAGCCGACCCCTCGTCTCCGCCCTCATCAACCACCGGCGGCACTCCTCCCATAAATGCTAACATGCTACGTTACGTGTTCGCCTGTGGTTCGGCCCAGGCGGTGGGGACGTTGAAGATGTGTGTGAAAGTGTGGATGAATAATAGTCAGGGGCGCTCAAACAGATAAAGAGGTCTAGACTCGCAGCTAAGCTAACCACTAGGCGTACAAATAGCAAACCATTATCTCTCATTAGCATCCGCAGCTAACACAGGGCCCATGCTGTGCAGTGGAGGGCCCTCACAATGGGTCCACTCATGTATGATTGATGGTGAAACAGCACCGGCCACAATAACAGAACAAAAAAATAATAATAAAGCACTAAAGATAGAATCTGCCGGCTGCAGCGAGGTAATAAAAATGTAGACAAACAAAAGGAAGTCAGACTAATCAAGAATGCCAGGCACGGCTCATTAATCTGTGAGAGCCGACGCTGCTTGGGAGCCCGGAGATAAGTCGGATGACTGGCACGTTGTGAAGATCACGCACGCTCGTCCTATTCCGGTTGCTATCTTTTCATCAGCAGCAAAAAACCCCAGAAAAAACAAAAGGATGAAATGAGAAGTGAGATGAGAGGAGGAAGGGCGTTTAGAGAATTGGTTGAAAGCCGGGAGCGTAAAGTAACAAAGGTAAATAGGACAGTTCCTGCACGGTGCAGGTTGGAGTGAAGCATTTGCTCAGCACGCTCGGAAAACGAGAGCGCCGATGTCGGGGTTAACGTGTTGTTGGGAGAGTTTGATCAAACGCCAGATTTCAATTATGACACTTCATCGCCGCTTTGACGACGCTGACAAAAGGCAGGCTCGGGGTTGGAAAATGAGTCATTAAAATCTATGACTCACCGTATGCGCCGATCTTATGATTAGAATTCCATCTGCCTGGAAAATGAAGTTTTTGTTCTCTGATTGCTAAAAAATATTTCTCCCTCCACTAAAGGTTCTCACTGAGTTTACACATCTATTATTTAGCTCCGTCCCCCTTTTTCACAAAGAGTACTTTGCCAAACGTGCAACACACACACACACACATACATACATACACACACACACACACACACACACACACGCAGCCTAAAACACCAACTCTTATTGCACTGTAAAAGGTCGGCTGAATATTCCAATTCCATTTGGCCTTTTTTGCTGACTAAGTGTTGGTAATTCATCATGCATCTGGACCAAGGGCTTATGAATATGGATTTTGGGTGGTTTATTAGCACAATTTAGGAATGCATTATGGGAAATTAGCAGGGGGAATAAAAATTTCTCTTTGCTGGAAATTGGGCCACCGTGTGTCTTTTTTTGTGCATGTGTGTGAATGCAGAACGACTGCCAACCAGCGCTCTGTTCGGGCGAACTTCCCTCTGCATGAGGCTGATTTCTTTAAATCTTAAATGGTGCCCTTTCAGTACAAATGAAGATGACTCCTATAATGTTTAACGTGCTAAAGAACCACAGGGAAGAGGAGAAATTAAGTTCGCTTTCACACCACGCAGAAGTAAACTACGACGCAATCCACTCCAGAGCAGAAAACTCATTTTGTCACGTCTTCTTTAGCTGGTTTAGACTCTCATAACCAGTGGATTCACTAATACTTTGTTTATTGAGCATTCTGTCATCCTGCCGGGCTGGAGACTTTAGCAGGGAGTCCAAACAAATCCTCCGCAAGGCGCTCAGAATGACAGATTCTCTGCTGTAATAGACTGTCTCTCCTGGCAGGTAAGAACAATCAAGAAACAGCTTAATATTAGTGCCAAGGCTCATTTTGTCATGCTTTGCTGTCCAACTGTGAGAAACTGCTGTCAATCACATGTCACGAAGAGCGGATGAAAAGGATAGCACAAAACAGCAGACAGATAAACACAATGCAAAAACATAACTAAGAAATCTTTTTGCTGGAGTGTCAGGGTTTGAGTTCGAGTCTGTCCGCTTCTTTCTCACCTTGTCTCTGTCTTCCACTAGATCGCTCAGCAGGTCATCCATGTCCAGGATGCCTCCCTCCATATACTCCAAGTGGTGGGTCTGCATGGCAGTCTCTCCACGCTGGAAACAAAAGACACAAGTTGGAAAACATTAGGACTAGACAATCAAGATATCAGCATCAAACTCCCCTCACTGATCTACATCTAACACCCAATGGCAACCCAATCCTGAACTGGATAAGCAGAAGAGGAATGATGGATGAATGGATAGACAAAGAACCAATTAGCTCACAATCCAGTTCTTACTTTTCGTTGCTCATACTTTAATTATTAGCAACAAAACTGATCAAAGTCTTAAATCCAAACAAATTACACTGGCTGATGCCAGGAAACCCTAAAAGGCAATTAATAGTCGCTGTTGTGCAACAGCTTTACCACTACCACAGCATATTTGCCATTTATGTAGCCTGTGAGAAGCATGAGAAACTGGCATTTACGGTATTACAGAAGAGTCATAACAAACATTCCCCGCCAAAGTGATGGAGAAACACTCCAATCAACTACAACATTTAAAACCATGACATGACCATGACTATCAGCAGCAGCGACTAACAACGATGGGCCCTGACGTTCGAGTGAAAGTTGTTTTGATGTGTACCACCCATCTGAACTATGTTTCAAACCAGTACATACTTAAACGGTAACGCCGTCCCTGACAGCAACTGTTTCTGAATGGCCTGAGTAACACAACAAAGAGCCTATCGTTTTGATCTGGCCTCTTGAGTTCGCCATGTTCGAGATAAGAGACCTCAAGTTCAAAACAACTTTTCAGTGACCAAACTGGGAAACAGCATCACCATTCCTGTCTATATCTGTGACTGAGCACTTTTAACCAAACATTAACATGCACACATACTTCCATGGATGTACAGGGGGAAACTCGGTTCAGTATCTTCCCCGAGGACACTTCGACATGCTGACTTGAAGAGCTGAAGATCGAACTACTGACCTTCAGGACAACTGGCTCTACCCCCGGAACCGCAGCTGCGGCTCAGGAGGTCAAAACTCATAAATATCTTAATAATAGTGGTGTGATGCTGAAGTCTATTAACACTTAGAGAGTTGGTATATTAGCTTTCAATAGATTAGTCTACTTTTCCACTCAAAACATGTAGATCACACCAAAATTCATACAATTCTTTACTTCCATTAGGAAATAAAGCTCACATGGTGTTCATCCCTGTGCTTTGGATTTTTCTAGCATGATCCGTTGCCATTTCTTTGCAAAGAACATGGCGCTCTGCTAACAGTGAACCTGTCCACAGTGCCGAGGCGATGTCTCAACAGTTCAGGGCTGCTTTGGCAGCATCAGACTGACCTACATAGCATCAGTCAGGTGCATATGTATTTTTAGGCAGCGTGTGAAAAAGTTCCACAGCTAAGATAGAACAAGATACCTGTAAGTAAGAATGTTTGCATTATGCTACAAAACTGTAACAAGCCTTTAAACTTTATGTAGCCCTCGTGGCTCTACTACCATCAGTCTGTCTTCATAAACCATGCGTTCATGCTTTATTCAGTTGAAAGTTCTAGCTTTAAAAATGTTAATTTTAGCTCCGTTTTGGCTAACTTACTATAAGTGCTATGTTTATAGCAACTAATGTAACATAGTAGCCAAAAATCTGGACTCCACAGTAGGTTTTCCTGTTTGTTGGGTAAGTATATGATTGTACATACGTGTCACCGTGTTATCGGTACAGTTTGTGCAGAAGTATGTGAGAGCGAGACATTTTTCCAGTTTTGCTGCTCCGTGGGGAGCGGTGGGCACATTCCAGGCCAGTTTTACAATCCCGATGAGCAAGTTAGATTGAACACACCCCCAGACAGGAAACTACACGCAGCTCATCAACAAACAACAGGGACTTTTGACAAAGCCACAATCTGCAATCTGCTGTTTACACAACATAATCAATGGAGAAGTACACGAACAATGACACCTTCCCCTTTTTGCGACCCTGCAGACACGCACACAGCCTGCTGTGGTCTTGCTCTGCTTTGGACCAAGTTTTTGTTTTGTTTTTTCCTGTAGGAAGATGGTAAATTGGACACATTTAAAAAACTATACAATTCCATCCTTGTTGATGGGTTAAATTTAGCTCATATTTGGAGTTTGTTTTGCACAATTTATATTAGAAGAAATTTGTAGAAGTCTTTGACGAGCCTTATCGTTCCTAACAATGCACGGAGTAGGAAATGGCTTATTAGGAAGCGCCCATACCAATAAGCAATCTGTCCTAAACAACACAAGACTGCATTACCAGCAAAAGTATCGACTATAAGCGAGAAGCCTCGGAGGCTGGAATGAGTTTGGCTGAGACCCAGTGAGCGGCTTCCGCTGTATCACCGTGCCCTGTTGTGAATGAGCTCCTTCTTGCTCGGCTGCACTCGAATGTGAATTACGGAGCGTAGGGGAAAAAGAAAAAAAACAAAAACAAAAACAGAGCGTCTTCCTTTCACAGTGGGCCAAGACTATTCTCTTAAACAAATGGCAGGGAGAGCCTGGGATATCAATCACAGCAATAACGCCAGAACCTCTCTCTGCTCAGAAGTGTCATTAAAGTAAGTGTCACTTCTGAGAGATAAGCGCAGAAAATAACTAAGACAAGCACAGTTTTTCAAAATCTTTATCATTATGTCGTTTTTAAAAGTTCAACTCAATTTTACTTATATGGCACGAAATCATAACAACAGTTGCCTTAAAAGTCTTTATATTATAAGGTAGAGACCCTACAATAATAACGAGGAAACTGCAAAAATCAAAGGATTGATTGTTGAGGAAGCACTTGGTGACATTGGGAAAGAAAAAAAAAAAAAACCCAATTTAACAGGAAAAAACCTCCTGCAGAGGTTTGTTGGTGAGATTGGTGACGTCTACATGCTAAGATTGAAATAAAAAGCTGCACAGCCTTTACTTAGGTCTGTCCCGAGTTGGTGGTTTGGCACACAGTGAACTGGATCCTAAATAGTGCCTGAACTTTCCCTATTTAGCTACATGTTCTCAAAGATGGTCGTGCCACGTGTCACACAATATGTAAGGGTCTGCTGTGGAGCAGAGGCTGCACACAAAGCTGAATGCAGGCGTTTGTGCCACTGTACTACAGAGACACGGCGAACACGTGAACATGGAGTCATTTGAAAAGAAGTTCAGATGGTGCTTTCAGGAACACCTGCACATGAATGGAATGTGACTACAAGCCGACAGGAAAGTCGCACAACAAAGAACAAGCAGACATGAGAGATGTCCGTAGCTGTGAGCGCAGGTTTCCCACACAGATTGCTTTCAGATAAGAGGCAAATACACACGACACGTTAAAACACGCAGTGAGCTTGGGTTACAAGCTGTTAACTGACGACTCCTCAAAGTATACCGCGCCATACAAAGCACGAATCTGATCATTTTTAAAAAAAAATTATTACTACAAAAAAAACAAAACAAAAAAAGAAAAGACGTCAGTATGGACCGAGAATGCCACGCCAGAAAAACCGGTTGAACCTGAAAAACTGACGGCATTCTTCTACTGCTGTGTGTGTGTGTGTTTGTGCACAGGCCAGCAACAGCAAAGGATGGGAAGGGCGGTCATTGGTGCTTTTGTGACGACATAACATCGGCACACACCTTAGTGAAATCAGAGGCGTGAGCGTGGGTTTTTAAGGGAAAAGAACTGATTCAAATCACTGGATTAGTGCGCGGGAACGTCCATGTGTTAATGAGCATCGCAGTCAGCGAAGCTTAAGCACACCTGGCACACGCGGGAGGCCCCGAGAAGCTTTTTCCTCTCTACCCAGTGATGAAAAGGGATGAACGGATGACACTTCACAGGGAAAGTAATCTTTAGGGAGGAAAGAGGGCAATAAAGAGAAGTTCTTCTGAAGTCCCTCATTGTCAATCCCTGGTAATTCCACTCACTCTTCCCAAGAAATAAATAACAAAAGGAATCGGGAGTCAGTCAGTCAACGGCAGAGGGGACTTACCGTGACAGTTAGAAGAGTAAATTCCCCGCAAATTACACCATTAAGTCCCCCCATCATTTAAAGAGATACCTCCTCCCCCCGCCTTCTCCACCTTCACTCTGGTGAGCAAATACGACACCACTCGAGAGCGCTGAAGCACTGGGCCGATTAGTGAAGCTAAACTCGGCGAGGAGGCGGCGGAGGAGAGGGAGCGAAGGGGAGGCTATTTCACACTTTGATCCTCAGAAGAATGTGCAATTACAAAGCTGCAGGAGCAAGGCGTGGATTTAGCCATGACCAAAAAAAAATGTTTTAATGAACACGTCGATGAGGAGCGTCCGCCAAGGCACGAGGGTAGAGAGAAAAGCTGGAGGGAGTTATAGTCAGGGGGTTAGGGTTAGGTGTGATGCCTTTCCACCTTGCAAAACTAGGACATCACAACAATGTGCTTGCTCACTTGGGAAGGTGAACCTGGACCAGCATTAGTTTTGAAGATCCAGGAGCAAAACCGACAAAAAACTGTGGCTTTTTAAGGATTATGCTTTAAATTCAGTTATTATCGAAGAGCTGATGCTTTTTAAATGATTTCACATTTTATTTCGTTATTTTTAATATCTTTGAACAACGGTGAGATTAAACCTTGTTTGTTTTTGTCAAGCCATTTACCAAAAAATGGTTCTGCCATTTCAATCCTGCATGTTTTCTAAAACTGAGGCACTTGCGTTCAAATTTATCCAAATTGCCACCACTTTTAACGAATTTTGGGTTTGCTTGTTTAGATGTTGCTTATAAATGCTCGTTTTTTGGTGGCATTTTGATCCTTGTTTTGTTTTTTTAACACTTTCATCTTTCGGTAAGTGGCAAGTGTCATGGGATCACATCTGCTTTTTAATGCCTTTTTAATGGCTGGGCTATCAGAGTTTAAAGTCTCGTGCATCAGCCTGCACCTGTCCTGCTTCAGTGCCCTAAAGGCAGAAATACAGCCTCATCTCTAGGGCGGGATGCTTTTCCTTCAGGGATCAGCTGCGCCGAATGATTTCCCCTAAAACGCAATTGCAGCAGTCTGATGAATGCAGCTGACAGTCTGCGTGTGCTTAAATCTAATGTCACAAATGACCTGAGCTGCTCGCAACTTTTAAAAAGAAATGCATTTTACACAGGGCAGAGCCTTGAAGCACACACCAACCCACACCGGACAAGTCCTCTCCCACCTGCTTACTTACACAAGGAGGACAGAGCGCTTTCAGCTTGCTTAGAGAGCTGTCAGCACATACGAGGTATACGGGCTGTAATCAGAACTGAAGCTGCACAGACAGGGCTTGAGACAGAGCGAGACAGCTACAGTACCTGGCTCTTTCCCCTGAGAATTTGCAAGACGTGGAGTCTTCACACAGGTCCCCCAGGCTAAAGCACATACACTACTCAGCCCTGCAACTATGGGGGTTTTACATCATCACAGTTTACAGAAATTGACTTTAATAAATGATCGCAGGATTTCCCACAGATTCAGATTCTATTAGAGGATGTCAGGCCTGTGAATTGGGTATGTGGACACATAGGTGTGGCACATGCTGCGATAGGAGACACACATACAATCTGAACAACTAAATCACGCCATTTATACGTTTCCTTTCTGCAAATTATTTTATCTGCCAAATACTTTGTGATAAATAACTCGTGATTACAACCAGTTGCTTCTCACGTGAGTCTCCAACTTCACCATCTTGACCGTAGCCCTTAGTCTGCACTGAATCAACTTCTCCAGCTCGCAATGGATCAAGGGGGAAGATATACCGTCGCCGGCTGGAACTCAAAAAGGGAAAGTTGGAGGAAAATCCCACAGTGGAATAAGATCTTATCTGGGGAAGGAGCTGTATGATAATGAGGACTGCCCAGACAGTGACCGGCCCAGCGAGCCACTTTTTGAATTTGTACTGCCAATCATGCAAAAATATGTTACTTGAGATGTCCTAATGGAAAAATTGTTGTGTGCAGATGCACACCATCTAATCAAATTTTTTGCAATCTTTACATAACACCCCCCCAGAAATCATGTGTTTTAGTCACACCATAGCTGAGATTAAAGTCAGAAAACTACTGTGTGCTTTACTTTTCATGTTTCATCAGTATACTGGTACTTTGCACGCTCCAATTTTAGAGATCACACTGCATAATGAGCAGAAATCTTCTCTATACAGACACATTTTGTCAGGAGACATAGCCGTTTTCGCCACGATAAGAGATAAAAGCAGCTGGAAACTGCTAATTGGTGAGGTCTACATGCCATTATGGCAATGCACAGAGGGCCTGTGCAGACTCCACAGTTTACCCTGCACATGGTCATAAACAAACACACACACACACACGCACACACAAACAGCGATTAAACTCAGGTTTTTGACACTGTCCCTGCTGTCAGCGGCCACGGACAAGTGGAGAAATGTGCGGTTAAGTGGAGAAATGTGCGGATAATGTGGGTGCTAAGTGGATTCTCCTGGCAGGAGCAACCGCCTCATCTGGTCAGATCTGCTCAGCCCTCTCTGGCAGCTCCAGAGCTGGACTGTCCTCGCAATGAGCTGCCTCTATTAAGAGGAAGGCCACAGACTGCTAAGTCAGCGTCTCGTAGCGGCTCCTAATTAACATGCTTTGTGAAAAGCAATCAAGGCCCAGGCGTGTTTTTAATAGCAGGCTCACATTTTAACCCCGTGCAGCTTGTGCACCCGCGGCGCGCCGCTGGGAGAATCGGCCATGACTGCTGGGCAGAGCGGGCACGGCTGTGGCTGTCAGTGAAGCAGACAGCTCAGGGGACACTGAGTGAGATGAGCTCCCCCGCCTGTTCGTGTGGCTGTGGAAATGTTTGTGTGCGCCTCTTCACTAAGAGGAAGCAATCCATCGAGCCATCCAAGACACCTAATCTGTCCTTCCATCCCTGCCACCACGGCTCCTCGAATCCCCACATGGCAGCCTCTTGCCTCGCCTTGTGGAGGGGAGAGGGAGGGAGGGAGGGTGCCTGGGCAGAAGGCTGAAGGAGGGGGAACCGATAAGAGCAGGGCCCGTCACCAATCCTAATCCCCAATCACTCACAGGACAAAGCCTCCTGTCCACCACGCACCTCCCCAACTGCAGCCACATTGAGGACATAAAGCAGTAAACTTCCACCTGCCCACTGAGATACCAGAGCTTAAACAGGGCGCTATTGTACAGGTAGACAGCCACGGCTGCAGCCGGCACCACTCACACCCATCCTTGCTGAGATGAAACACACATAAGGTGCGCTATCACACAAGGACAGCACACTCGCACGCTGCTGATTAATAAAAAGGTCAGTTCGGCAGAATGATTAATGCTCAAGTGATTGCAGCAGGGAGCAGAACGCTGCTGTGTGTACGTGAACACTGGAAAGAAAAACTCCAGTCACAAGAAAACAATACTCCTCGCATTCTTACCCATTAGCTACCTAGTGATGGGGCCAGTAGAGCATTATATGTATTATATAAAAAGTGCATAAACTTTAACAGAGCAGCATTAAATTGGTTGGACTATTTTTGACCCACCTGAACTGGCAGATCGCTGGATAGTTTCAGAAGATGCCTAGCACAGTGGACTCCCTGAACCCTATGACAGCAATAATCTGAGTGGCCCTGCAGGACGCTTAACTAGGCCAGGCCTTTTTACTAAAGTTGATCATGTTGAAATGGAAGAAGACAACCCCACCTTTCCACAAACTCCTGGGTGGAGGACATACTTTAAATTGAAACAACTGAGACAGAGAACTGAGGGCTGGCAGCAGCTTGAGAACCCCTGTTGGATAGTGATGAGGGAAATTTTATTTTTTATATATTCCTCCGCTAAAGAGGCACGTAATCAGTGTTGTTAGCCAATGAGAATACAAAACACAAACCTCATGAAACGGAAGACCTGAGTGGTGAAGACTGGAAAAAAATGGGACAAAAGCCATTATATTATACTTTCCTTGAAACTGCTTTAATGGAGGATGCACTCTTATGATTATATTTATTTATGAATTACAGGGGAGCCGGTTGTTCTTTTCTCTCTGATGGTGTGCAGCAATGTTTGGGTGCTATGTGTCAAAGTAACATCCACAAGAATGCCAGCATCCACAGTGTATCAGCAAAACACTGCATTGTTGTTACTCTCTTCACCTGATACCCAGATGTAATGTGGTGGCTGAGAGGTGCACTTAAAAACTTTTTTTTTAAAAAATAAATAAATTATGTAATAATCACACAGTGCGTGATTCTTTCAGTAAAACTCATTAATAGGACAGAAACTCTCTTAATTTAAAAAAAAAAACTCGAATAGATTTAAAAGTTTTTAACTTTCAACAACACTTTGACTTGCTTGCCATAAATAAGTGCCATAAAGTGAATTCGGCTCAATTTTAGCTGCAAAATTAATTGTCTATAAGCAATAAATAGCTTTTTTCTCCGTCTTATTTAAGCTAGCTGCTAACGTTAGCTCCGATAGTGAAGACGTCATAACCTGTAAATTAGCCGTGTCACGTGATCCACACCCCAGCCCAAGTTATGAGCGCTACCCCTCACAAAATGCGAAGAATGACTGGAATGAAACGTTGTGTCATGTTGGTTCTGTATTCATGGAGAATAGCGTGAAGTAGCGCAAAGACGGCGCTTACCTGCTCCAAAATCCTGCGGTACCTCCGCGTAGCTTGTTCGATTAAATCCCGGACTGTCCACCCAGCTTTGCAGGGAACCACCACAGAGGTGTCCCCGAAAGTTACCGTAACTTTCATTATAGCAACAAGTTCAGAAAAAAAATTTGTTTAAAATAGTTAAGGAAGTAATCCAAGTTTCGGTGATCTCTCGACCCGGAGCTTCTCCCGGTGTTGGTGACGGACAAAGTGGCACCTGTCTGTCGAAACTGTCGCAACAGGTGTCTCAGGTCTGGATGAAATCACCTTAAAAGTCACTAATCAGAGGTTACCGAAATACAGCGACGTGTAAAACTCCAGAAGACATCTTATTTTGTGGGAAAAGTGGAAGAAAAAGCGGTTATCACAGTCGCCGAGAGTGACTTTCTGTCATGTTGCGCTGTCCGCCGATACACCCAAACAAAACAAACCGAGACAGGAACCCGGAAGAAATCACGGTGACTCTGGCACTCCAGGGAATTACATTCCCACTGACATACACCACCCACACTTTATGGGTTATTTCTACAGGCTTCATTAATGCGCATGACAATATTAAACAGGTTATTATGTTTCATATAACGCTAATACAGGCACAAAAAGAAGTACCTGTATGTAAATGTGTATGATTCAAATTTCATGGGCTGTTGCATAAAGATTATGAATAGAGTCAAAAACAAAAGCATCAGGGTGGAGTCAACTGTAACATTGATGTAAATGTAAATTTACATCAAATTTTTATATATTATTACCTGATTAAAACCTCAGCTGGGCTGTAAAAGGAAGCAGAAAAAGAAATGCAAGCACAAAGAAAATGTGGCAGCACAGACTCTGTGAAGTAACAGAGACATTTTTTTACCCAGACATCTTAAAAGCAGCAACTAAACAACAAATATACCTCGAAGAAAGTAGAAAATCTGATAGAACTCGGGTGGAAAGATCCAGTCGTGAATGATCACAGCAGATTTGTACCTTTGTTTTTTTCAGTATTGTTTCACTGCACTTACTTTCATTTACACTTACATTTCCAAATGATCATTTTTCCTTATTATTAATATAATCATTATTAAGATTATTGTAAGCGGAGGTGTTGTACTGGCCTTCATTGTATTAGGAAGTGTTCCTAATATATGCCCACCCCATTAACATTTATTTCCTACCTGTCAGATTTTCTGGCACGTAGAAACTATGACATAAACTCTCTACGTGTGTTTGCTGAGAACTATATTAGCTCCTTCCCTACTCTAGCCCCCATACACCACCTCACCTCTATTCACACACTTTTTCCCTAACCGTTATTGTCTGTCATTTTATGTCATTAGGTGTGCTGTAAAATTGCCTTTATGGATATTAATGGCCACTGACACACTCATGTGCCTTATTCCCCCCGCATTGTTTGGCTCTGCTCTGGGGAATTTTCTCCACATCAAGTCTGAAAGCCACGGCAGCAGATGAATTCATAATTGGGACAAGCAATTATTTCCACTGCCAGTGTAATTCATCCGAAATGTACGGAACGGAACAATGAAGGGGTGACAGCCTCTTTTTGCTTCTTGTTTCATCTCAGTCCATGGTAAACAAGGTGAATTTGGAGGGGGAGTCCAGAGAATGAGAGTCCAAAGGATAGAAGGCAGACTGAAAAAAACAGGAAGAAAGAGAGAATCTCCAATTAGCAAATCCCACAATAGCTGCACATGTCCGTAATCCCTGGGCTCTGATTTTCGAGGCTGAGCATAATTTCACGCCTGGTTTAACACTCTGTTTTCACAGGTACTGAGAGTATATGATGCTGGTTATGTTCCCCCAGCTGCTGACTCACCAGTCAGAGAAACTTGAAAACACATGTTCCACTGCCAACTGCAGTCATCCTCATCCAGGCCAGGGGTGTTTCCATACAGCAATGATAAAAACTGAGAGCGGAGAGAGATTAAACTGTATGGTGTAAGTGCTTTAGCTGTCTTTAAATCCTCATTTCAGTCTGGCCCACTATCATAAAAAGAGGGTTGTTAATTCTAAACATCCAATCTAATAAACAACACCAGACGGGATTCAGTAGCAGATTAAACCGTCTGACATTGGCAGGGAAGATTTTGAAGTCTTTAATAGGCACAAACGACATACATAACTCTGCTGCTCAACCCACAAATGCATTTTCCTTAGAAATATGTCACCATTTAAGGCATTCCAACGGTATAAGGTTTATTGCCAAGAAGCATTGTCACATTGTTACAACAAAGAAATAATCAGCCAAACACTAATTTTTTCTACTTTTTTTGTTTTGTTCATATTCTCGATCTATTTTCTGAAAGCTGGACTTCTATTGGGACGACATCAGCAAGGTCGACAGATATGACAACACATATAACATTGACCAAATTAGAAACAGCATAAAAACAAGCACATGGAGCAATGTGAGTGGGTTGCAAAGTGGCTTGCAGGTGAACCGCAACTGTAGGTAGACTTAGAGTTGGATGTCTTGAGAACTTTTACGTGGTCTTGGTCTTGTCTTAGTCTCGACGGGCTTTTGACTTGGTCTCGCTGTCTCGGTCTTGCTGTCTCAGATCGACATAGTGGTCGGGAGATTTGGAGTCAACAGTATCCATGACACACAACGTAACATTCGATAATGTGTCATGTGCAAAAGCATCAGCTCTAAGAGCCGTGCTTAGAGAGTGCTTTGTAGTGAATCAGAAGAGTCGACTCCCATTGAGCGAGAGCCGGCTCATCACTTAATTTCTTAAGGAAATAGGATATAGGATAATGTCATTATGTGAAAAACAGAGAGGGTGAGAGTCGCGACAGTCAAGTGGAGCATGCGTCTGTCCTCTCAGTAAGTGAGACAGTAGACAGCGGTGAGGAGGGCTGTGCGAGTGCATCGCAAAAACACATAAATATGCCTGACACCCGTAAACACTTGGTCTTGTCTTGGTCTCGATACCCTCTGGTCTTGGTATTGTCTTGGTCTTGGTTTAGGTGGACTTGACTACAAGTCTAGGTAGACTTAAAGCAGCCTAGATGATGTGTGATACATAATATGTGTGAGCTGGATGTTTAGCAGTGCATAACCTGATCCAAAGCTGATATGGTCTGGCATTTAGATGTTATCCCAGGATTGTGGCTAAGCTTGACTTTGTGGCCTGTTTCAACTCACACGGCTCTCAGTTTGTTCAAGGAAGACACATAACTTCACGGTGACACAATGACTTTCCTATAGTCAGACTTTCAGTTAATATCAGGCCACTGCTGCGTGCAACGGAGAATTTGTAGCTGGCAATGAGAGACTGTGCTATGAAATCTACTAAGAAGGCACAATCATATATTGTTTAATTAGTGCGCTTTATTGCGCTTCCTCTAATCGAAGATGACATAGACACTCTTGTAGCTCCATATGCCAGTCAACTGAACTTGAACTGAACTTGAACATGACCATAATATAGTTCTTCTTCCCTAAAATGTTCCAAAAACAGTGGATGACCGTGACACTGCAATGAAAATTAAAAAACCATAACCATAACCCACTTATTATAAACAAACGGCGTAGAAAAGCTTCCCTCTTTGTTCAACTTGTTCCTGTTTTCTGCACACTTCCTCTATATTTATAAAGAAGAAGAAGATGGTGTACACGCTACAGAGGCCTCAAATACCTTCTCACACTCTAACATGTGAAAAAACCGGATGACAAGATGCCATTGTCAGAAATGCAGTGTCGTAATAAAACAAGCCGACGGTGAGAACCTGCAAAAAAATTTGATCTATTCCCACGTGAGGACGATAGGAGCTGTAGCGTGACCTGAGACGAAGACGAGTTTGACAGCAATGTCACGCTGGAGTGTTTGCACAGCATCAGCGCTGTCACTTCTCTGCTCTGTGATGTCACTTCCTCTATAAATAGAGTAGTAGCTTCTGAGCACGCCCTCACCTGTAGCGTTTTTGAGCGAGATGCCAAAAGCAGGGAGTAATTTAAAAGAGCTGAAAGTCTGTTACAAGCTCATATCGAGCATCTCTGAATGTTCTATCAAACCTTTTTCTTTTTCTTTTTTTTAGTCTTTTCAATCTTTTCCTCATCTGGAAGTAAGGCTTGCTTAGCCAGAGTGCTGGTCATCAATAAAAGCCAAGTGATGGTTTTTGTTGTTTTGCTCGTTTCTCTGAGTGCAATTTACAGGGTTGGGTTGTTCGGGTCGATACACGTGTTGATTTGCTTTCAGTCTTCAAGCAGTGCCCCTTTTCTAAAGAGCAAAATTGACATGTTCTCAGCGGCGGTGCCACCACCCCTGTGTTTTAGCTCAGTGTGAGACTGGAGCCGGTCAATAGCTGAGACCTGCTTCACTTCCTGCTGCGCTGCTTACAATTACAGGCCCTGAATCATTGGCGAGGATTACTCATAAAAACCTGCTCTGGCTCTCTGATTGTGTGCGTATGTGTGCCGTAGCTGCACAAGTCGGGCATGAGAGATAGTGTTCGCAATCACAAAATATGACTTTCATTCAGCATGAGGATTTCATTTCAGACCGCAGGTATAATATTCATGATGCAAAATTGCATTTCTTTTGTGTGCCGCTGCTGAAAGGCTCCAGCCCAATAGCTAAAGGTGCACGCCTGTGAATTACAAGTGTTACAGGATTGTTGTCTAGAGTAATCACAGTTATTCAAAGCAAAAAAAAAAAAGCTATCACCATTCACCGTGATCTGTGGACACACAGAGATGTATATTGTACTTTGGCGCTTATATGCTTACAATTTGGGAGGATCTTTGTGGCGCACTGCTGGCGGCCGACTTCCCGCCCGGTACAGTGTGTAGTGTACGGTGTGTACTGAAGGTGATGAGACGTTTGCAGAATTTTAAATCCGAGAGGAAGTTGGAGGCTTTGATATTCTTCAGTCCTGAAGCGGCGTAGTTAATATATAACATACCATACTTCCAGCTCGGGTATTCACGGCGTTGAAGTACAAATGAGGGGAAATTGAAGAAAAAAGTATTTGTTCTTTCTGTCATAGCCTCGCACGTCTCATCACCATCAGGGGAATTTTCCCAAAGCGAGCCGGATGTGATCTCTTTAACCTCTTTCATAAGTGACCCAGACAACATGATTTCAGGCGAATTATCATTTGAGCTGAGCGTCTGGGGCCATGTGTCACCCACCATGTTAAACACAGGGTATAAACATGAAGAAACGTCCAAGTTTTTATCTTTTGATTTATATTAATATTTCACAGCAAAAGAAAAGGATAGAAACACACATTAAAAAGAGACAGAAGCCTAAATGGTCCCGAGACACGCCTCCTAGCAATCCAAACACTGCATGAGTAGTTCCACGCTGATATCATACTCAGAGACATATGGTTAGTTTACAATAATAATACAAGTAGTAATGAACAGATTGCAGGAGAAATGTATTTGATATTAACTGCTGATGAAAAAATATTAATACCTGTTAAAAACAGAGATAGATAATGACATTTTGCATTGTTGTTGATCTC